CAGTCATGATGAAGTTAACTTTTCTTCTTTGAACTTCTCTCATCAAGTCATGGACCTCCCCTAGAGTCTCCACGTTGCCCTGGTCACTTGGCAAAGCCCCTTTCCTTGTGACCACAGCCTTCCCAGCCCAGCATGTGGCCTCTTCCCAGGGTCCTTCCCCAGCTTGAGGTTTTCCTTTCCTGGCTTCTGGACTTGTGCTTTTCTACCCATTCTCCCTTAGGAGGAAGTGGTCAGAGGACAGAGAACACTGATCTAGGGCAGAGATTGAGAACCATGGGCTCAGTGGTCGCTGCAGCAACCAAGGAGAGTGATAGGAGGAGGGGCCCTGTCATGACAGGGATGGGAAGCCAGGTCAAAGCCAAGGTGAAGGAAAGCTGATTTGGTCTTTACTCAGCAGCAGGCAGCTGGGGCTACATAAGGCCCATCAGGAAGGTGAATGCTGAGCTGGATGGGTATTCTCTCACATTATCTATGGGGGTGGGGTGAAGTAGGCAGGGCTTGGCCCCAGAATGGTTTTAGGTTGCAGATAAAGGAAAGCTTTGCAGATTACAGGTATGTGATTAGTCCAGCAGGCAGCGTGCCATGGGAAAAGCTGTGGGCTAGACACCCCACCGCACTCTCTGGCAGCCCTCAGTGTGGCTGGCACAGAAGCAGAAACAGCATTTGGGCAGGATTCTGTAACCCTCCATGACCTTGGGGTTATAGTTTGGATTTTAAATGTCCCTCAAAAGCTACATGTTAAAGTCCGGTCATTGATCTATGGCACCATTGGGAGTTGGTGGGACATTTAGAGGTGGTACCTCATGGAAGGAAGTTAGGTCACTGGGAGCAAGTCCATGAAGAGGACATTGGGATCCTGTTGTGGTTTGAATTGTTTCAGAAAGTTATGGAACCTTTAGGAGGTGGAGCCTTGATGGAGGAAGTACATCACTGGGGGTGGGCTTCGAGATTTTATAACCTGGTCCCACTTCCTGTTTTCTCTGTGCTTCTTGACTGCTGGTACAATGTGACAGGCTGGCCTCAAGCTCTTGCCATTCCTTCCCTGCCATGATGGTCTGTATAACCCCTGGAATTGTAAGAAAAAAAAACAAAACAAAAAACCACTTCTTTCTCCAAAGTTGTTTTTTCCGTGTTTATTTTATCAAGACAACAGAAATTTCTTAACCACCATGAGATGAGCCTTGCTACAGGCCCAAAATCAACAGTGCCAAAATGAGCCTTTCCCAGTTTTAAGTTATTTTCTCAAGTACTTTGTCGTAGCAACACAAAGCTGACAAACACACAAGTACATTCCAGGGCTAGAGGAGACCAAATTCCAAAGTCCACGGAGCAAAGATGACAGCCTTGCTGTAGTTACACTCAGTCATCACCACTAGCTTGGAATTTTGGCCACTATAGGGGGAGAAGGAAGAGGAGCAGGGTGAGGGGCCCAAGACAGGAGGGGCCCAAGACAGGAGGGTCCCAAAACAGGAGGTGCCTATGAGGCAGACACAGACATCCCAGGGAGCAAGCCCAGAGGAAGGCTGGAAGACTGACTTCTCTGTAGCCAGGACTGCCCTAGCCATAACCTCCCCTCTCCAAAGGAAACACCTGTACCACTACCCAAGTCCTAGGGCTTTAGGGGACACATGTCTTAAGAAAGAAGCAGCAGCTTTGTTGATGTCTAATTGATGTTCTGTAAAATTTACTGGTGATAACACAACAATTCAGCTGTTTTTAGAAGATTTATAAAGTTACACAACCATCAACTATCACTACAACACACTTTTAGCGCTTTTCAATCACAACCTCCCCAAAGTTTTACAATTTAATCCACACTACATTCATCTCATCTACAATGAATCCCCACTCCCAACCTCAGCTGTCAGCAACCATTAATCTACTTTCTATCTCTATAAATTTACCTTTTCTAGGCATTTCATTAAAATAGCATACAGCTGTAAGTTTTGCACCTGTCTTCTTTAACTTAGTGGTGCTTGGAGACTAGCTTAGTTCTGCATTCTGTTTCATTGCCAAGTAGAACTTCATTGGATGGATCTGATGAATTTTCTCATGAGATGATGGATATATTTAGAACGTCTCCAGTTTCTGGTTATTATGAATAAAGCAGTTATGAACAATTACATACGGGTCTTTGTATGTAGATACTTCCTTTCATTGTACTTGGGTAGATCTCTACAAGTAGAGTTTGTGGGCCATATCCTTAAGATTCACATCTAAGAAACTACCAATGTATGTTTCCTAATGGCTGTACCATTCAGCAATGTACAATGATCCAGTTTCTCTACTTCCAGACCAGCATTTGGCATTGCCTTCTGAATTATGTGCACTTTGGTTGGGATACATTTTATCATATTGTTATTTGAATTTGCATTTCCCTAATGACTAATGGAAATATTAGTCATGTCCAATGGTTGACATCTTTTAACATACTTATTAACCATTTGTCTATCTTCTTTAGGGAAATACCTATTCAAATCTTTTTGTCTAGTTTAATTGTATTTGTCATCTTATTACTGAGTTGTAAGAAGCCCCTTATCAGTTATCTGATTTACAAATATTTTCTCTCAAGTGGTGACTTTTCACTTTTCTAGTTGTGTCTTTGGAAGCACAAAGGTTTTTAATTTATCAGTTCATTTATGAATCTTGCAGTGTCACTTTGACCAACCCAAGGTCACAAAGATTTTCTCTTGTTTTCTTCCGGAAATTTTATGGTTTTAGCTTTTATATTGAGGTCTAAAATTCTTTCATTGATTTTGCTGACAATATGAGCAGTTCCTGTTTCTGACCGTGGGTATTTGTGGAACCCATGTCCCTTGATAAAAAATACACATTCTCCCTTTAGAATCAGCCTGGTATCTGATAAAGCTCCCCTGACCACACATGTGGAATCTCTTCTGCTCCACTGGTCTCGGAACCTGTGTTTGCAAGTCCCTCACTATCCCTATTACTGCAGCATTAGAATGAGTTCTGAAAACAGGAAATGCAAATCCTCTTTCTTCTTTCAATCTTGACTTTTGTGCTCTAGACTCAGCTTGTCATTTTAAACCAAAACGTCCCCTTCATCTCTGCACGTTTAGAGATATCCCTGCTGCATTGATTCCATTGTCCCACTGTAGCCAAATAAACACATTGTATGATTTCAGTTCTTTTAAATTTGCTGAGGTTTATTTCATAGCACTGGGTATGTTGGTGAATGTGTCAAGGGGAAATGAAAAAAATGTGTTCTTCCATAAGCTAGTTGCTTGACAGAGGTGAACTGAGTCCTGCTGGTTGACCACGTTATGCCTTCAATAACTTTGACCTAAGCTTAGGATGCCTGTAATTGCTGAGAAGAGGTAATGGAAGTACCGATCTAAAACCACCATGGATTTTTCTACATCTTCCCTCAGCTCTTTCAGTTTTGCTATTTGAGTTCAGTGTCTCTGTTATTCAATGCATGTCCATTTAAGACTTCTGTTTTCCTGGAAGATTGGTCATTTCATCTTCTAATGCTCTTTCTAGCCTCTAATAAGTTTCTTTAAATTCTACTTATCAGATTTATAGTATACCCATTCAGATTTTGTTTTTATTTTTATTTTTTTGACATAGCTAGGCCCAGCTAGCCTGGAACTTGCTATGTAGACCAGGCTGGCCTCGATCTCACAGATGCCTGCCTCTGACACCCGAGTGCTGGGATTAAAGACATGTGCCACTATGCCCAGCCCACTCAGATTTCTTAATTTGTTTCTGTGATATATCTTATTCCATCCATTTACTTTCAACCTTCATTTGTCATGTGTAGGAAGCGAGTTTCTTATACAGACTATAGCTGGGTCACATTTCTTTTAATCTACTCTTCCAGGCTCTGCGATTTGACTGATGTTTAAGATATGTAGCACTAAGTAATTATATCTTCTATTTTAGTCACTTGTTTTCTCTCCCTTTCCTGTGGTTCTTGTTTCTTCATTTCTTAATGCTACTTGAATATATTTGAAGGTTTATCAAATTCTTCTACAGTCTCTTGAATGTTTGGGAGAAGATAGTTATTTTAGTAGTGGCTTTATTTTTATTTTAAGTGTATGAGTGTTTTGCCTGAACATATGTAAGTACACCACATGTGTGCAATCCCATGGAGGTCAGAGTAGCATTGGATCCCCTGGAACTGGAGTTATGGACAATTATTAGCCATCATGTGGCTTCTGGGAATGGAACTCAGGTCCTCTGCAAGAACAGTCAGTGCTGTTAACCACTGAGTCATCTCTTTAATTCCCGTAACAAAAATACCCCCCCCCAATTTTTTTTAATTTTTTATATTTTTTCAGTTCCAAACTAGCTGCCTTTTAAAATATCTTCTCCTTGTTGGGTAAGATTTTCATTTGTCATTTGCTTTAACTGACTATCAAAACAGATTTATGACAACTGGGTTGAAATCCTTGTCAGGGCATTCCAATACCTGGTTAATCTCCATGATGATCTGATCAATTATCTTTCTTCATTTAAGCTATGATTTTGTATTTTTCACTGTGAAATATTGGGTAATATTTTATAGCATTCTGATAGAAAGACATGGGTCCTACTGACATCTTTTAATTTGGAAGCCCCAAGATCTTAAATGTCATGAATTGTAATTTATCCCCAAACCACTAAATTCCCTGTGAGGTATGTCACCAGTCAAAGTGGGTCATACAACAAGTCAGTACTGGTAGGAAAAGTTAGTGGTGTTTGTAGACAGAAGGTATCAAGGTGGTTGAGGTCAGCCACAAGTTCCCATGCAGCCTTATAGAACACTTGACAACTTCCTCAAAGATATATGAGCTACATGTCACCTGGACCCTCTTGGGGTCAATGGCCAGTGTGTAAATTATCCACACATGCAGAACATACATTGTTAGGCTTCTTTGTGACTAATAAGTAGATCTTTTGGTAAAAATACAGATTTAATCAATTTCTTATTAGTATCCAGAGAAAGAAAAATAGCAGAAATTCATTTGAAAGAACAACAACAAAAAAATTCCTACCTGTTCTGAGGGCATTTCACCAAATAATGTCTCACTGTGAAAGGAAAAAGAAACATAAGATGGTAAATAAAGGCTAGCTTGGAATTACCTGGAAGGTGGGGATCCAGATCTTGCTCACATATTGAAGCTACACCTGCCAGCTCAGGGCATCGGAAGGTTTCAGGTAAGCACAGCGGAGCATTGGGAGGACCCGACAGTGGCTTGATATCATTCCAGTTCCAGACCACACCAGCTACGAAGCCACATGCTCCAGACTTATACAGCCCATAATATTTATCTTTGGCCAAGACAAGTTGAGCTGTATTCTACCCCCAAGGGCCTTGGAATGAAAAAGTCTCCAAATCTGTGAACTGTGAAAACACACCTTCTGGGAGCAAATGAGACAGGCTATCTCTCCTTAGAAGCTTCTCATAAAGTGGGCTTGCATTTTCTGATTAATGCCTTTCAGTGTCTCACAAGAGTTTCTCAGATAGTCAGATGTGATGGTGCATACCTGTATTTCTAACACTTGGACTGTTGAGGCAGAAAGACCTCAAGATCAAGGCTAGCCTATCTTAAAGGAAAGAAAAAAAAAAACACAAAACAACAAAAAGAAGAGGTCCTTGGGAAACCAGTCTTAGAGCAAGGCATCTTCCTACAACCATCTCCTTGAGGAAAATGTTTGTCTATAGTGGAATACCTGGGCACATAATCCAACAACTTCCAAGACTTGAAGTTGAGTTCAACTCAACAGAGGAAAGCTGATACAGCCAGAGGGAACTAATGTGCAGTTAACGTTTATACGATCAGCCCCATTGAGTCTCACCTCCTTGTGTCTGTGCACACCCATATATAACACACCTCACTTCATGCTATCTAGCATTTGGCCATATGACTTGCTTGGATCCAAAGAACATTTGAATGTCAATATGCCTTAGACAAAGGCATAAAAGGTGCTGTGTCTGGGGCTTGCTCTTTTGTGACATAACTCTTATGCTATCAACTCTTCTGCTGACCCACTGGCAGATGGGACCTCGTAGAACAGGTGTCAGCTATTTTAGCTGAGCTCCCAGAACAACCAGATCCAGCCGATTCGCAGGCAGATTGCAGCTACATGAAACACCCCAACCCAGTGAAATCAGCAGAAGAACTGCCCAGCTGAGCCCAGCCCGAACTGCTGGCCTGTGGACTGGGAGCTGACAAAATGGTTGCTTCATGTTCTTATGTTTGGGGTGATCTGTTGTGCAGGTGGCCAAGGTAGGGTCCACAGCAGGACTTTTAGCTTTGGAGAAAGCTGAATAGATTTAACTAATCTAACTTCCTTCGAATGCCTAAGCCCTCCCTGATTTCTACTTATTGACCATCTACTGTGTGCTAGATCATTTATGGATGGAACAGTAATAACAACCACAGTATATACTGAACAAGGAATGCTTGTGGACAGTATTCTAAGTTTGTTACATGGGTCCGTGGACTTCAGTCTAGGTCTTGCACATCCTAGGGCATTCTTCGGACAGCTTACAGGAATCAGTTTCTTGGGCTTCATTTTCCACTGTGTTCTTTCCTAAGAATTAACTCTCTTGTAATATGCCTTGGATCTGACTATATTCCTTTTCTTCCTGGCTTATAATATCACCTTTCCTACTTCACAAAACCAAGGCAAGCTTTTCACTCATCAGGACATACACTGTGGAGGCCTGAGCTAGAGAGGAACCCCAGTAAACAGCAAATAGATGACTAGAATCATGAGTGTCCGCTGAGCCCCCCGTCAGCTCACACACAACTCAGTAACTAAACCTCATGAGGACGGAGGTGCCAATATTTTGTTGCCAACATGGCAGTATTAAACATCATCTCTAATGACTATGATAAATTTACTTAACATAAGCAATGCAGAAGCAGCAATGAACTGAGCAGTATAAGAAAATTCTACCTCTTCCTGCCTTCTTTTGTACTGAATTGAAGGTGGTACTCCCAAGCTCACATCTTTTAACAGAATGGAATGGGACTGATGGCAAAGCACGTGCCTAAACAAATTCATAGGAGGTACATAAAGTAAAAGCAAAGGCCCATTTCAATAAAAATGCATTTCCAATAAAATTCCACCCTTTCTGTTTATTATTTATCAAATGTATACTTACGTTGTTCATCTTACACTAATCTTTCAAATGTTATTAAATGTGCAATATTGATAACATGACTTGTAAAAATATTTAACACCTTGACACATGTAGAATAAAAAAGTTGTTAGCTTAAATTTGTGTGCATGTACACATATGTACAGGTAAGTGTGGCAGAGTAATCAATAAAGTGCTTTCAACACAAAAGCTGTATTCAAATAGCATCACATTTTGTGGGAGAAGTGGATAAAGATAAAAGTTTGAGAAAAAAATGGACAATATAAAATTTCTAACAGCTGAAGTTTATTTGTGAGGACTCCCTTCCCTAACCCAGTTCATGGAGTGTTGTGTTCTCCTTTGATGGTGTATTTAAAGTAAACAGGGCTACTAATTAAAATCAAGACGTACAAAACGGCCATTTGAAACCATTCATCTTAAAACACCATTATCTGTAATGCTCTGGAAATTACCTCCTTTGAAACAATTTACACTTATAATAAAAAAAAAGTTAAGATGCCAAAACCAAATAACAATATAACCGTTAGCACAGAGTTTTTTGAAATTATTTTAACAATTATGCAGGCAAAAAATATTCGAAGTCCACAATTTTGAATTCTAATTTAATCTTCACAATAATTTTTATAGCATTGTTCCTATGTTACAGTGAAGGATACCAAAGCACAGAAAGGTTAGCCAACTCTGGTCACACAGTTGGTGTTATGGGCTATGTTGTACTCCCTTTAAGATTCATATGTTAACGATCTCATACCCAGTGCTTCTTAATGGAACTGTGATTAGATGTACGGTAGAATAAAGAGCCAACTGAATTAAAATGCCAGTGTTTCTAGACATGCCCAGCCCCTGGCCACTTCTTGTCACTCCTGCCCTTTCTCCTTCTCCTCAGAGCCACACTGCTCAAAACCACCAGCACCCATGGCCAGGCCTCTGAGGGCATGTCAGTCCTGAAGTCTGTGACTTCCCCTGCTAGGACTGTCCTTGTTACCTCTGCCATCCAGAGTAGAACGACTTGAGCTGGAGAAACCACACCCTCATCTTACCAAGTCCATAACAGTATTGTCAGGATCTCCAAGGTATAACCAACCTTCTCACCCTACATACAAACCTCCTTGCATGCTCTGGCTCCCCAAGCCTTTCACAGACACTTGATAAGACCTGTGGATGTTTCTCTTCCCCAGGGCTCCTTTTCACAGCTGGGGCTGTGGCAGCCCCCAGGAATCTCTGTAACACCTGGGACTATGTTTGTAGGGAACTCTCCCTGTCCCTTAAGTCCCCAGGGCATGGAGCCCCAGCCTCACAGCCTGAAAAAGCACTGCCTGGATTGGAGGTCCAGCCCATGGCCTTGTCTGCATTTCCCAGGAGTCAAGGCAGAGGTACATACCTTCCTAAGTACAGTATTGTCCTCTCACTGTGTTGGGTCCAAGAGATCTCTGATTCAAGGAAGCAGACCTGTCCAGACAACCCTTCCAGGCCAGCACAGTTACTAGGATGGTGCCACCTCTTTCAGTTACAGATAGGAAGCTGATGAGGTGAACCAAGGGGAACCTTGGTGCCATGAGCCTCTCAACAGCCACATTCATTTGATGAAGCACCAGACATACAGCTGTCTGTCTGGTGTGTGCTGTTCCATGTTGTGGTCAGTAGCCTTAAATGGCTGTTAAGCCCTCAGAATGGAACAGGTCCAATATAAGGTGTACATCCACACCAGGCTTCACAGCTTAGTAGTGAAATACAGTGTCACCGATCACACACACACATATATATATTTTTAATTTATTATTTTTATTGTACGTGTATGAGTATATTGCCTACGTGTAAGTGAGTGCACCCGTGTTGTGCAATGCCACAGAGATCAGAAGAGGGCTTCGGATTCCCCTGGAACTGGAGTTAAGGATGGTTTGTGGCCGCCATGTGGGTGCTGGGAATTGAACCTGGGTCCTCTGCAAGAGCAGTCAGTGCTCTTAACCGCTGAGCCATCTCTCCAGCCCCCATCACACTTTTTAATATTCTTTGAAACTGTATTTTGGATATAACAAGTTAAATATATTAAAATTAACTGTACCTGCTTTAAAAAAAAACCTTTGTAATGTAACAACAGATTATCTATGGTTCATATACATCTATATGTCTGATTGTGTATGTTAGCCTTAGCATTGGGGTGGACAATTTAGCTGAAGGGCTGATGACAATGGAGAAATGTAACCAGGGAAGGTGAGCCACTCACACGAGAAGGCACTTGTTGGCTGGATCTGGAATGTCTCCAAAGGCTCATGCATTGAAGACTTGGTCACTGTCCCGGTCAATTTGAAAAGCCTATAGTCACCTGAGAAGGAGTCTCAGCTGAGAAATTGCCTACATCAGATTGGTCTGTGGCATGTCTGTTGGGGATTGTCTTGCTTTAATGTTTTTGTTTGGTCTTTTTGATACAGGGTCTCCCTGTAACCCCAAGCTGTCCTGGAACTTACTATGTAGACCAGGCTGGCCTTGAACTCACAGAGATCCGCCTGCCTCTGCCTCCCAAGTGCTGGGATTAAAGGCGTGCACCACCATGCCCGGCTGATTGTCTTGACTTTTTAAATTGATGGAGGAGGACCCAGACACTGTGGGTGGCACTATTCCCTGGGCACATGGTCCTGGGCTATATAAGAAAGCCAGGGAGACATGAATCTGTGAGCCAGCTAGCAAGCAGCACCCTCCATGGTTCCTTCTCTAGTTCATTGGCTATGGAGTGAGTTCTTGGTTGGAGACAGTGCTGTGTGGAATAGGAAGCCTTTAGGCTTGTGCTTTGAGTTCTTGCCTTGCCTTCCCTCAATGATGGACTGTTACCTGAAATTGTAAGCTAAATAAACCCTTTCTCCCTCAGAGCTGCTTTTGGTCAGGGTGTTTTATCACAGCAACAGAAAGGAACCTTGAACAG